GTAAAGGTTACCATCTTTATCTTGGTAGCCCACGTCTCCGGTTCGGAACCAGCCATCTTCCGATAAGCATTCTGCCGTTGCGCGAGGGTTGCCTAGATAACCTGGGAATACATTGGGACCTCGAATATAAATCTCACCAACCTCACCCAAGGGAACTTCCTTTGGTTCAACACCTTCTTCTGAGGGGGTCATATATTTCATTTCCTGGCTGGGGAGCAGTTTTCCAACAGACCCGGTGTGTGTGTTCCAGTCTTTCCAGGACAGAGTGTGGGTGGTGGGGCTGCACTCGCTCAGGCCATAACCCTGCTTGATACCGGTTCCGATGCGAGCATATACTGCGTTGACAAGCTCATGAGTCAATGGCGCGGCGCCACAACTTAGCATACGTAGTGAGGTCAGATTGTATTTGTCGACGATAGGATGTTTAGCAAGTTGAAGAACGACTGGTGGGACAATGTATGAAAATGTGATACGATAATTCTGGATGTGCGAGCACCATTTTTCGAGGTCGAATTTTGACATGACGAAAAGATGATACCCACCGTACATTGAATTGTGAATCAGACAGGTGAGGCCTTATTACGTTAATTAGTCTATAATAATAATACTTGTTCGTGACGACAAGGAGGACAAACCATATATGTGAAAGAAAGGCAAGAAAGCCAACATTCTATCGCCTTTGCCATCGGCATTCCCGTTCCAACTCAGGTTCCCCTCCTCTCCAGCTTGTATCTGCAAGGTATTGGTCACGATATTTCGGTGGGTCAACATCACGCCCTTTGGGGTACCGGTTGTACCAGATGAATAGACTAGAAAAGCGAGATCCTTATTAGGATTAATACGAGATTTGCCGTAGACGCTGGCTTTAGAGATATTGCGAATAGAGGTGAAATGTTTGTATTTGGCGTCGGGATGTCTCTCGTCACCCAACAGAATGATCTGCTCTTGGGGCAAGCCGACTTTCTTTGCTGCCGCGATAGCAGTGGATAGGCAGGACATGTGAGTGATCAGGGCCCTGGCATTCGTGTCTTTTAACTGAAAGGCTAGCTCGTCGACAGTGTATGCTGGGTTTGCGGGAGAGATGACACCACCCGCCCACAAAGTACCCCATGTGATGACAGGGAAATCGATGGAGTTTGGAGCAAAGACAGCCAATACATCGCCCTTTTGCCAGTCCCACAGAGACTTTAGCCCAGAGCCGAATGTTATAGCAGCAGCTCTGACCTCAGCGTAGGTGTAGGACCGGCCAGTATCGGCATCTTGGTATATAGCTGCCAAAGGAGTCGGGTTAGTCTATGAATAATTAGGAGGGTACGAAGAAAAGAATTTCTCGCACTTCTGTCGTCAGGAAATTTCCTGTTCTTCCTCTGGAACAAGAAGTCCCAAACGCTAACGTTTGGGATATCCAAGGGCTTGTACGGCGACTCGAAAGGCATTGCGGGGTTGTGCAACGTGAACGAGCTGGGGATTAAGGGTTCAGGATGGAATGCAAGCGTGAAAACCTAAAGGAAGCACGGAGAAAAAAAGGAGAAGAAGAGGAATAGGAAGAGGAGGAGAAAGAAGAAGAAAAAAAAGAAGAGAAGAAGAACCCAGGGGGATGCCTCCTTCGGCGACCTGGAATAGCCGGCCTGGGGGCCGTTGGAGCTTTGCGCATTGAAGCAGCCAAGCAGCGCGCAGGAGAACTAAAATGGGCGTTAACTCAGTCGGCTTCGATGCGCCTCGGCTCAACTCTCAGCCTCTAGGAACGCCAAGACCCAGCCAAGCCTCACTGTCCGGGGTGCCAAGGCCGAAAAACCATTACCTAAGGCATCTTACTTAAGCGAGTCCAGTCTGACCAACCAGAAACTTATTTTATTCTGTCACCCCTATAAATATCCAGTCGATCGTTAATCTTCTGCCTTCGGGCATCTGGTCATAGTAACGATACAGAGAAGATTAGCATGGCCCCTGCACTAAGGATGACACGCTCAATCAAAGAGAAGCTACCAGTTTTTTTTGCATCGTTGCACTCCAAAATTCGGAGGTTGAAGACAGCGCACTGATGGGAGAGTGGTGAGTTCGAAACGGGGAAAAGGTGGAATTTTTATTTCTTTGAATTTTGACCAACAGGAGAAAGCGACACAGAGAGCTAACTAATAATCTAAAGGCAAAAAAGCTGCGCTACTCGAATCAAGTCAAATTAAAATCTATATATGATGGGATAATTATTCTCTTAAGTGAACAGACATGGGCTATTCCCGAGAACCCTAATTTTCAGAATTTTTTCCATGGCACCACCAATTCACCATCTACTCTCTGTTGGCCTCAACTCATACCATCCATCATGGTTGCCATTAATGAACAACAAGCGACAGCTCTTCGACACTAGTCACACCACGCCGTCTCTGCACTTCTTTCGCATCATACAAGGAATCAAGAGAATCCCGAGCATTTATTTCCAGGAGCATTTATTTATTTCTTGGAAGGAATGTGGGCGCTAGGCAGCTCACCGTTGCCAGAGTTTTGAATGCTGGCGGAACGGGATCCGGAAAGAGCGTATTGTGAAGGAATTCCTTCCACACGATGAGTAGAGTTAATGTTCTTAACCATTGTGATTTGCCAACAAGTTGCGCTACCCTGGCGGGAGATAATCGTGGAATAGGAGAGGAAGTATTCCCAGATCTAAGACAGTCCTCCCAGTTAGCAAGTGTCCTGCCTGGCTCAAGGTTGAATAATCTTAACACTGATTTTAAATAGTAACTTACTCGGAACCATTTCTTGCCATATTTCGCCTCAACTTGCTCCTTGTTACCCATCCAGTTTCGATACCATCTCCACAGAGTTGCAGAGTAATGTACACCAACAGTGTCGACCCCCTTGATTTCGAACCCGGCGCCTTCCAGCTTATCGACCACGAATCCCAGAGGTGTGCTAGCGTCGGCACCAGGGAAGATATACTTGTTCATGAACAGACCCCAAATCAAGTCCTCATATTGCCACGATTTCCGCAAGCCAGCGATTTGGAGGAAGAACACACCGTCGTCATCAAGCATACCATACACCTGGGAGAGGAAACTGGAAAAGTGTCGAACACCAACATGCTCTGCCATTTCCAGACAGGTAATCTTCTTGTACCCTCCAGGGATACTAGGAGCGTCACGATAATCGCAGCACACAATACGGCTCTGAGACTCCTCAATACCGGCGTTGCGAAGTGCAGTGTTTCCCCATGCAGTTTGGTTACGGCCAAGTGTGATTCCAGTAGCATGTGCGCCGTAGTGAGCACTGGCGTACTTTGCAAGCGTTCCCCAGCCACAGCCCAGGTCAAGGAGGGTATCACCAGGCTTGATACCAATTTTCTCGCACACAACGGCTAGCTTATTATCCTGTAGTTCCTCAAGTGTTTCTTCCTTGTTGATATCGCTAATAATACCGGAGGTATAGATCATACGGGGACCCAAGAACCAGGCATAAAAGTCATCGCCTCTATCGTAATGGCCACGGACTTGTTCCTCGTCTGTTAAGAATTATTATATTCACGTTAGCTAGAGTACAGTAGGAGCAGGAGAAAAGAAAAAAATAATCGGGGTCTTACCTTGGCTTCTGGTATGCATAATCACCTCAGGCATCATCCCGGTGAGAAAATACTTATACAAGCTCCAGGTAAACCTGAATTGGGCCCAATCATGACGGTACTCAAGCATTTCTAGGGCATCACCCTTGAAATCAACTAATCCTTCAAAATACATCTCGTGGAACGTTTCCATGGGGATCTTGCTTTTGCCGTGATACTTGGCGCGATCATGCTCGCGGTGGAAATGCAAATAATGCTCCACTGGTCGGCCAGGATACTTTGCTTTCTCGTTCTTGCGGGGCGAGATTGTAGACGTAATGGTCCAATATCCCATCAATATCGGGAGTGAGGTGAAAATCGCGAAGAAAATTGTCACAAACAGTCCACCACCGACCTGGCGAGCAAGGTAACCGGGTACGACCACTAGGAGACTGATGAGAATGATGTTCGAGAAGCTGTCGCTTCCGGCAGCGTCAGCTGGCAAGGGTCCATTTTTGATAGCAGGGTACTATATAGACATTCAATCAGTAGTCTATTACGACTTGGAACCGAATTGATATTTTTATTAAATGTATGTCCGATTGGCAAAAGACGGGAAGTATTTCAGGGGTAAAAAAATATCTCCCAACTAGCCGGGAATCCAACAGCAATTGCAAGTTCCAATTGCACAAAAGAAGTCGTCAATTGCTCGAGAAAAGATGAAAACTCACAGCTGTAGTCTTAACTCCGCACTCCTCTACATTAGGAGAGACGCAAGAAGCCGGGGGGGTGCTGATGTATTCGACACCGTTCGCCGTCTCTGGGTGTTTTTGGGCCATGATTTCGCTGTTGTTGCTAGAAGGAACGAGACCGGGTCAACGATTAGCAAGCAACGAAGCAATTGAAAGCAGAAAAGAAGCAGAAGAGAATTAATTACCCTCTCTCAGTCGATTTCCAGGCTCAATTTTGGTGCTCGGAAACTGGGTGCGAGGGTTTCAACTTTCGAGGCACACAAGCAGGTGGGAAAAGAGGAAGAAGCAAGCCTACGAAGCCTACTGGGCCTACAAAAGTTTAAGCCAGCTTGGGATTAAGTCCCCAGCCCTTGGCGCCCTCACCGCTGTGCCACTCCAGTTGCCCCTGGATAAGAAATAAGAAATGAACCTTCCCCTGAGATAGATACCTAACTACTAAATATTACATACGGAGCGCATATGTGCATCTAGCCATGGCTAATAGTTATGCAAAGATAATGGGTATTGTATCCCAACGTGGTAAGGAAACAAAAGAGCTGGAACTGGAGAAGATGATATAAGTCCCGATTTTGGGCTCAAAAAAAAAGGAGCACAAAAAGGCTTTTATTTGACTCGACGAGCATATTAAGATTGCTTGCTGTTTTTCACTTTTGAAGTGAGGGAAGATGGTGAGTTGAATTTATACAAAGAAAAAAAAAGATGCAAAGCAAAAATATTGGGGTAAACCGGGATCGAACCGGTGACCTTTACATCTTCAGTGTAACGCGCTCCCAACTGCGCCATTGCCCCTCGCTGGTAGTTTTGCAAGTCCTGACTTTTATGACGCTGGGTAATTTACCATCGAGAATTGATTTCATGTACAGAGTAAAATAATAATTATCCGCCCATTCCCGGTTGAAAACTTAGAGGGATTTGGAATTTTTACTCCCAGGTGAAAAGAGAGTAGGCCGAGGGGTGGGTAGTTAGGGATATATACTCTGGCCAATTTTACTACTTGTTTGGGAGTGGATGGTAGAGATCTTGAGAGGGGTTGAATCACAAGCACCCTTATTTCATGACTGGCCACTAGATATATACAAAAAAAAGTTACAGGACATAAGAGAATTACTAGAGGGAATATAAAAACCGGAGCTATTCCCAACCTTCACCAACAGTGGCCAAATCCATGATTAACCCCGATCCCTGCTTGAACACCAATCCATTAGACCTGATAATTAAAGAACTCGACTCTGTTAACATATTTTGGTGTAAGTAAACATGGCACTGAACGACCAAAAGCCAACAAAGGAAAATATAAAATGGAAATTATAAACCAAGTTCAAAGTTAGCGGTTTCTTCGTCTTCTTCATACACAGAAGGAATTTCATCAACGAGTTCCTGTTCGGTTGCATTGAGCTCTGGATCAAAGCAGCCAGCAGCATTGCAGCGCGACCACATCTCACTCCCGAATGGAGGAACACCGTAGAGCTCTATGTATCGCTCTGGTGAGAGGATAGTGTTATTTAGTGCTCTCGAGACGGATTTTTGTGTTGATGATGACTGTGTCCGCAGGGAGGATGATACGTTCCGTCCTTTGGAGTACCCGAGAGTGTTTCTGGAACTTGCCATTGCGGCTGTATGACGCATAGATGATGGGTTTGATGGCGTTGGTGTTCTTTTCATTGAAGTAGTTTTTGATACTGGCTTCGCTGCGGCTCCGGCCCTGCTTTTCTCACGGACGAAAGGAGTTGGTTTAGGATCGAGTGCCAGAGCTTTGGCAGCGCTTCGCGATCTCAGAGTCGATACTGATCGATCAATAGGGACAATTGCCTCCTTCCTCTTCATCTGCGGCTGCTGTTGTTTGAGGGACGCTATAATCTTGGATCCGTGAGGCAATCCATCGTCTTCCATTCCTAATTGCTTAAGCCCGCTGTCTAGCTGTTCAAGTATCAGGTCGTCGATACGTTTATCAAACTCTATATTCGCCCTCTTTTCTTCTCGTTCTTTCCGTGTCAGCCCATCCGATCCAACATCGTGGTCCTCGTATACCCTATCCCATCCGCGAGTCGAATTCCGACCTTTGAATTGCGGGAATCCTGTGTTGTACGTGATGTATCCATCGAAATCGGACAGAGCTATAAAATTGATCAACATTATTTAGATGCGTAGCATGGCCTTATTGAGACTTACGTTTCGGTTTTGGAGGCATATATTCAATGTCACGATCTTCATCCAAATCGGGCTCCCTTTGCTCCTGCTTCGATTGTGGGACGGGAGTGCTCTTTTTAATCTTGCGTGTCGATGACGCCCGCTTGCCAGATCTCGCTTGCTTAAGTGTTCCTAGCGGTGGAGCTGGAGTCTGAAAAGCTGTTGCTTTGGCATTGGTAGTTTTCATGCCCAAAGGGGCACGATTCCGTGTGGCTTTAAAAAGCAGATATGTTAGCATATCCCAAGCTTGACAATATTGGAGAACAGCCTAGAAAATAAGGATAACCTACCCATCGGCGTAACAAATGTAGTTGATTGGCCATCTTTGCTTGGTATTAAAGCATTCTCGCTGCAAGCACGTCGCGTGGTTAACCCTGGTTTCCCACCACCAAAAGTAAATGGCATGTTTTCATCATTGCCCTGTGTTCTAAATGGAGTCTTTGGAGCATTATTAGACGGTGTTTTGGGTTGTAATTGACGGATTCCCTGGTTTAGAGACTTCGAAATAGCCGCTGCGCGATGAGCGTTCACCAGATTTTCCTGGTCTCTCGCAGAGAGTATTGTGGACATAGTGGCAGCCACTGCCCTTCCTACACCCGTACAAACTGCCCGGCTGGCCTTGATACCGTGATGGATTTAGAAATTGAATCCTTTAATGGCCTGTTCTCAAGCATATGATATATATCTATCCCCGATGTGCTGTTGTTTTGGCGGTTGCGACGGTAACGCCAACACATCACCGCCAAGCAGGACCGGTCACCTGATGTGCTGCTCTATGTTTGGCAGGCTTCCAGTTATTTATAAACAACAGCAGGCTACAGCTCATTCGATCTATCGACAACAGCAATCTCTGGGTCTCTATTTCCCTGTTCTTCTAGCTACACAATTATTTCCAGCTCTATACCCTTTTCTACTCTCCCCCCGCCTCGACCTATTTCCCAGCATCATGGATGGCATCAGGAAGGTATGTCAAGACATTGGTGGGGCATGGCAACAAGGAGCAACCCCTCAAATCATCAACCATACCATTATTTCTCCCTCCTCATCTACCAAACATCCAGACTCCCTTCAGCCTCGTAGCATATGGCCATGATACTAATCTTCTATCATCTTTTGGATAGAGAATGGAAACCCTCCGTCAGGATCTCGACGAGGCAACCGCTAAAAGCGAGGAACAGAAAGCACGAATCAAGGAATTGGAGCAGGAGAATTTAGCAAAGGAACAAGAGGTAACCTCTCTCACCCATCGAAATCAAGTTCTCGGGGCGGAGGTGGAAGATCTCGAAGTCAAGCTCAAAGAGGCCAAAGAATCTGGCAATGAGAAGGCTCAAAACGACACACAGAACGAATCCCTACAACGGCGCATACAATTGATGGAGGAGGAGGCGGAACAAACCGACAAGACCTTGCGCGAAACAAACGAAAAGTACGTCCCGGCCACCTCTTCATTTTTATCCCACCTCTCTATTTTAATACCTCCCTTGAGTTTGCTAATCAATTTTTGATAGGCTCCGCCAAACCGATGTAAAGGCAGGACATTATGAACGAAAAGTCCAAGCACTGGAATCCTCTCGCGATCAGTGGGAAGCCAAGTACGAAGAGATGGCTAAGAAATTCGCAACTCTCCAACAAGAGCTCCAGGAATTGGAAATATCGATGGGCAGCGTTTAATCGCGATTAGTTGCAAATTGTTGGCTTCGTGGAGAGACACAGCAGCGGCTTTTCTTCCTTTACAACGAGTAGCAGAAGTGGTTTTCCCCCCGTTCATTTCTGTTTTACATAGCTGCACTTAAAGCGTGGCTCCCGATCAACTCGACGTTTTATTTTTTTTCCTCGATTATTCACGTTACCGCCGAGCTTTGTTGATGTCAACCAACCTAGTTGCTATTGAAATTCGTCTGCAGCATTAAATTTATCTGGTACATGCGCTTTGAGTTTCCTCGACCTATTAGGTGTCCGCCCTACACAGAGCAGGATCATAGTATATTCTGTCAGACAATATTAAATAGAAGATGATTTTGTTCCCACGATCCAACTATCTCTGTGTTCAGCCCAATCCTGGGGGATTACTTTCCCTTCCTCGCGTTCGCCTGTTTCCTATTCTTCTCTTTTTGTTTATACCTGTTAAGCTTCCGCTCTGCAGGACTTTCGTACTTAAAATCCCGCTTCTTTTTCCGTTTATTCTCCTTCTTATTTGGATTGTCCTTTTTCCATATTCGTTTTTTCGATTTCGGGTCGGTTTGAGAATCAGGCTCTTCGTTCCCACCACCTGACTGGAGTCCAGTTTTGTCAGTTCCCAGTTTCTCTTCCCTTTCCTGCCCTCTATTGTCCTGGATATCGGTATCAAGAATGTTCTGAAGGCCTTCTCTCGTTGGCTCCACTTCCTCCACGGTAACGGTAGTGTATTTATCCTCGTCGATGTATTCTGCTTCGTAATCTACGGGGGGCGGTTCGGTGATTCCGCCCCATTCAGGGTCATCTATACTCCTCTCCTCCTCCTCAGATGAATCGTCGGACTCGGACTTTAACCCATTTGCTTCTCGCATCTGTGCGCGGTGTTGATCAAGAGCCCTTTGGAAGTCAGCCTTCCGCTCCTCACGAATCTATGAGAACGAGCAGACAATTAGCATTCTCTACGGTAGACAGCAGCATAAAGGGGAATTAGCATCCCTGGAAAGAAGTATATCATACCTTTCGCCTCTGTTCAAGTCTTTCTTCCTTTGCCTTCTTTTCAGCAATTCCCTGTGCATGTTTAGCACGCTGAAGCTTCCTCTTGTGAAAGCCAGTGAGATATTCTTGTCGAGCCTCTGGATCGAACGATATTTCTTCAATACGTGCGGCTGCCGCTGTTTTACGGCGCTTGGAAGGAGGGGGAGCCATCCTAGGTGTCATCCGATAGCTAAGTGCTATTCTTTTCAAGCTACCCTAAGGCTCTGGAGTAGGATGTTTCTAGTCACAGATTTGAATATTTATCGAATCGGGCCAAGCCTCAAGTCAGAAATGTTTTGTTGTAACTTCAGCGTAACGGTAGTGTAATTTTGTATTCAAATACCAACCTGATGGCGGGATTAGTCAGCCTATAACATCACCACCCGAGCTCGCCAGCTTCAATCATCATGTTCAATTCGGGGCAGTTTGGTCTGGGTTGAGCATTCTTGTATTTCCAAGGCTCAACGGAGGTCTAGCTAATGACGATAACATGCATCTAAGGAAGAGTGGGTTCTTAGCCCTCGCGGCAGTAGCGCAATCCATCCATGCGTTTAGGGATACTTCGCCCTTCTTCTTCTTTTCCAACCATCAGTAAGGCTTCCGTGTTGGTACCTAACGTTCTATTCTCTGAGCTAAACATGCTAGGTTTGAAACTTCGTCGCAGCAAATACAGTCTGCCGCTTCAATATTAGACGATGTCTCCGAAAAACTTCTTTCCTGTCCCTCAGACTACTACCTCATAGTGTCACAGCCTGGAGTCCATGCACTTGATTACAGCAGTCAACGATCAGCACCCCAACTACGGTCGCGGCTGTTGAAAAAAAGTCGAGAGATCCGGTCAAGTTACATGATTAGTGAAGTTGTGGGGGAAATCGACACAACCTCTCTCCAGT